CACACGCACAGACAGACACACACAGACAGACACAAACACAGACAGACACACACGCACACGCACACACACACATACACACACACACACAAACATACACACACAGACAGGGTCGTTGCAATATGCGTTTTTGCTGCCTGTTTGCGCATCTCTAGCGCTGCGCGGTAAAAACGCATAAAAAACCGGAAAATATTACTTGCCTTTATTCGAAATGTAAAAAAAATGTTTGTCAGAATCATGTGCAAACTTCCAACGATATCAATAGCATGAGAATCGCACACCGATCTCATGCTAATGATATTTACGGCGCACTTTAAGGCGGTTCTGGCTGATAAAAAATAAACCTGCCAACTGTATAAATCCATAGTGTTCTTATCGATGCTTGCCGCTAATATCAGAATCAAACCATATGACATTCCGTATGTCGGAAGTAAAGCCGAAAACGTAAGCTGAAAGTGCAGAAAAATCATCACTGATTCTACCATAAATCAAGGTTTGCTTTTCTGCCTTCGTTGATGACCATGAATCGCCTCCGTAAATTTTTCGATATATAATTAGTGAAACTTACATGCAGATATGGAAAGATTTGCGGTTTGACTGTCATTGCAACATATGATATGATATTTGCACAGAGTGAAACAACAAGTGTGATGATAATTAATATTGTATAGGCTCGAGTCGCATACCGAAACAAAAAAGCCATGCAATAGATGAAAGGCAGAGTTGGCCATAAGTACATCAGCCAGAGAAGAATTAAACTGTAAAGAAACATATTACGTTAAAAAAGTCCATTTACAATATCAGCAAAACAAGACATTTTTCTCGTAATTTTTACTATGCACGTGTGCCGCCGAAGATAACCTAAATTGATTTTTCTTCCCCGCAATGTCTATTAGTTCTCAGCAAATTAAACTCTGTGAAGTTTAATCTTTTAAAAAAAATTAAAAACCTACTCAAGTATGTTACTTGTTAGCCATTTGCCATAAGCAACGATGATAAGCATGAGAAATGTACAAGTGAACAAATAAAGTAAAGCATCCGAAAGTACCGTTGCCGCCCAATAAGTACATGCATTCAGTCCGGTCAACAGTTGCTGCAAACAGTTTCTCCGTGATACTTTTTGAAAAATAAAACTGTCTTATTTCAATGGTTCTTGCCACAGAAAGGATGTAGACATTCGCTAATTAAAAAGGAGTAGTCTGCTCATCAGTGACACTGAGGACTTGCCACTAATGATCCAAGCGGTCACAGCGAAAATCATCAGAAGCTGTTACTTTCCGGACGATTCAACAGACGAATTAAAAACTTCGGAACTTCAACGCTGGGATACTGAAAATTTTGCTGGAAAATCACTACTACGCTGGAAACAAGTATACCTGGTGCATGAAGTTGGTAATGCGATCGTCGACAACATAAGTAACAAAACCGCATGAGATGAATGCGAAGATAACGATCAACAGTGGCGCTAGCAAAAACATTTGTGATTTCAGCGATGCCAATGGATTTACACTGCTTACATTGCCATACGGCGAGAACGACAGCTGGATGGAATCTTAAATAATCATTTTGCTTGCCAATAATTATTTTCACTAATTTAAACATAATGGCCCAAGCATCTGGTTATCTCTAGTACTCGTAGTCAAGAAGCAAAAGACGAAGCACAAGACCGCTTGTGCCGACAGTTTCTGGCACATCGAGAAATCATGCGGTTCTGTTCTGGTCAGCACATCTTGTGAGCGCAAACTAATGCCCCTTTAACAGTGGGTCCTAAGTTAAGCTGAAGTCAAATCCTCTTCAGAAGAAGGTCAATGATATCTCAAATTCATTGCAAGGACGACGAAAGAAATAACGTTTTTGAAAGTTGATGAAGGAGACCGACCGAAAGCCTGTGAGATGCATCAGCGACAACGCAGTATTGAAGCAAGTCAATTTTCTGCATGGCATATTCAAACAACGGGCCGTATCTAAGAGTTTACAGCCCACCATTTGGATATCTATCGAGGATTCTAAAAACAAAAGTACTGGCGCACTGCTTACCTGGCGACTGCCCCAGCCTCGCATTACTCAATACCGTTATGGCAATTGCCGGACCATATCGTGCTTTCGCATTGAAAAATGCTTTAACCACGGAACGATTTCCGATAACATTTGACGTAACGGCTAGACTTATTGGTGGCGGTATCTGAAAATTCGAAAGTTTGGAGGTAGACAAAGCAGCCGACGAAACTCCGTCTTCTGAAGCACACTTATGAATAAACTAAGGAAACTTGGTTTCGTTTCATGCAAAGCATGTTAACAACGAAAAGAACTGGAGGATTTTATCCCGCAATCGAAACTGCCTTGCTCCCGATAAAAATGTCACATTTGATAATAGGGCGAAAAATATCATTACCAAAATTCCCATCCTGCGTCCCAGTAGACCTGCGGTAAAAAAGGGAATGACCATTCCGGAGATCTCTAAGAGGTGACGCATATACATACTTGAGATGGAGTCATAAGTACAAAATGGAATCATGTAACTTCGGCGAAGAAGATCCCATACATCAGCATCCAAATGATGAAATGGAACAGGAAGAGGGGAAGTAGCGAAGAGCAAAGGGTGAATTGCAATAATACTGAATATCTATACCAACGATCTCAGCATCCAGCGATCTCGGCATTCATCAGCCAAGTTTCAAAAGGAACTGACTTCCTTGAGCATGAGCTCAAAGTCGCAGTTTTCTGAGTCGAATAAAACAAGTGACTACAATTGCTGTCACTACAATTGCTTCCCAATGCGTATTGTTTGAATTTTAAGATGATCTTTCCGCTCACTCAG